AAGTCCACTCATCTTAAAGTCCACTCATCTTAAAGTGGCCAAGTTGGGACAACACTGCTTTAAACTAATTGCAGCTCAAGAAGCATGGATAACACATCTTTCTCTTCACGCTTAATTCATTTATAAGGAAAAGCATCTTGCAAATCTACTTTATGGGGAAAGATAAGGCTATATTAGTTTCACCTGCATAAACATGCAAAGCTCATGCTGTGAACATACATGATTCATTCCAGGGATGGGTTCAAGCTACATAATAAACAACTAGCGATGGAACAATGCTTCTTTTAGCTCACATTTAAGTACAAACTGACTTAACATGCAGTTTCAAAATGAATTCACAGAACATAATTTTCCATAGTGTTTTGAATGTTGTAATGCATTTCTCTAATTAAAACAAGAAATAAAAATATAATATATGAAAATACAAAATACAGGGAAAATAGCCCTTAAATATATTAAAGATAGTTGCATACACAGCAGTAGATATTAAGAGAATTATTTGCAAAAAAAAATGTGTATATTGGAATGTTACGCCATACATGTTTTTGCACTTATGGAAGTGTATACAAAAACACATATAGATTTTTGTACAGTTTTTAGAAAATACATTTAAAGTCTGATTCAGAAAGAAGATAAAAAGATATACTTGAATATAGAGAGAAGCTGTGCTTATAGCTCTATTGTGCATTTATATTGTGTGCTCCCTTGGAAAGCTACAAATGCAGTTACGGCATGACTTAAATGAATAAAATTAATAAATGGGTAGCAAATCAGAGAGAATTGTTCATCCTTAGAAGCAACCTACGAAAACTAAATAGGGCTGTTCAGTGTTTGATGTGGCCCTTGTTCCATATTGGAAGAAAGATGGAGTAGAAATGTAATAACATGAATAGCTTGCAGACATAGAAAAGACATAGAAAAAGACATAGAAAAAAAGAAATGCAGAGTCGCTTGGGGGTCTCACTGCTTCTTTTTTCTACATGCATAGAATATTGCTGTGATATCTCTGTCTCTCTTCTTTTGTCCAGGCAAAGATGTAACAGGGTCCAGTTCCCAGATATGTGGGTATATAGGGCTTGATAGCATGGGCAGTAGCCAGGTAGAAATGCAGAAGCTGAACTTTGAGGAACAGCTGGATTCCAAGGTAAGCTGGCTCAGATGGATGCACTCATAGTAGCAATGTGTCATAGATAGTTTATTTTATGTTCTCCCATTTCATCTCCCTAAGCATCTCTGTAAACCATGGAGAGCGACGGGATCCACAAGAAGGGAGAGGTCGCATGGGCACGATCTGATCTAAAGCCTCAGCCACTCTTTCATTCCAGGCAACAGCCAAGGACTCAGCCAGACCATGCAGCAGATCACCAGGAATAACCCCCAGCTCCCTCTGAAACCCACCCAAGTTCATCAGTCACCTGGGGTGGACCAATCTAATAGGTCCCACATCCCTGTAACAGGGGGCAGCACCAGAGGATTCGTGGCTAGCAGGGCATGATCTGACCATGGCAGAGGAGCTCTCCCAACACTGAAAGCTCCCCCAATATCAGATCATGTTGCCATGACAAGAAAGCCAGATCAGGGGTATGACCACTGTCCCAAGTCAGGCCCTGGATGACCTGGGATAGGCCCAAGGCTGTCATGGTGGCCATGAACTCCTGATCTACCTCAGACGTCACACCCAGGGAAGGCAAACTGAAGTCTCCCAGAACCATAAGCCTGGGAATCTCTACCGCCAACCCAGAGATTGAGTCGAGGAGCTCAGTTAAGGAGGTTGCTACGCAGCAGGGAGGCTAGTACAGTAACAACAATCCCAACTGATCCCTAGAGCCCAACTTCAGGAACAGGGTCTCACATCCAGCAACTTATGGGGCACTGCCCCTGAAAACTGTAAGAGACTCCCAGATGACAACCACCACACCCCCGCCCCCGCCATGGAGTTTTGGCTGGTGCCACACCCAAAACCCAGCTGTGCGCATTTTCAAGAGGGAAACTCCCCCCCTCCCTTGGACCTAGCCACGTCTCAGTAATACACACCAGGTCAGCCCTCTCATCTGTGATTAAATCACAGATGAGGGAGACCGTAGACCGACCTGGCATTTAGCAGCAGCAGCAGCCGAAAGCGAGGGCCTCTGAAGATTAGATGTGTTAAATGTGTTTCAGAGTGTAATGTACACTTTTAAAAAGAAACACAGCCTTTGGGAAAGCTGATTATTTTTGACATTTCAGCAAGTGCAGAAAGGGAGCTAACCTTTCCCTCCTTATTGTGGTTCTGATGAAAATCCTTTTGGATTATGAGAAAATTCTCCCTTTGAGTGCCAGTAGGTAAATGTTTTTATTAATACAAAGAGCAGTCCAGGGCAAGGATTTTGTTCAGGACTGCAAGAGAAATTGTCCTTTTCCCAATTGCTCCAAAGGAGTTTATTAATGTATGCAATAAATGCAAGACATATTTATGATCATGCCTAGTTTGGACCTTTGTTATTTATGCATTCAGTTTTTATTATTATTATTATTTAAACATTCTTATTATACAGAAATATATTTTTAAAATCCTAATATCTTATGAGTGATAAAACATTAACTTTTAACAGTCAGGAAATCAGAAAAGATATTAAAATACATTTCCACATCAATTACCGAAGCATATCTAAGAAACTGATTTATAACTGGTGCCAAAAAGAAGTGGATAGCTGGTACTTTTCCAAACAGAGCGTGTTGTACAATCAGGGCACTATCACAGAGAAAGGCCTCTTTCTTTGTGATCATATCATGATCTTGATTCTCACATTTGGGTCAATAGTGTTGCCCGCTGTGGAGAGAACATACTAGTCAGGAACCTAAAAACACTTTCTGATAAGAATAGAACAGGGAAGATCTGGTACCACCCAGAAGTAATTAAATTTAACCCCTTTAGTGGGCTAAACTGTTAATGACTACAGGTAGTCCTCGTTTAGTGACCGCAATTGGGACTGGCAACATGGTTGTTAGTGATGCAGTTGCGAAGTGGAAAATCATGTGACCGAGACTGTGCTTATGATCTTCAGCTTTCCTTTTTCCCCACTGCCCCGTGTTTGGCATGCTCACCCCGGCACTGGGATAATTAGCAAGAAGGGAATTATTGTTTGTATTTACATTCATTGGAGAGGAAGGGATTACAAGAGAGTAAGCAGGCACACAATGGGGAATGCACATTGAAAACAATGTGCTAGCCCTGGCTGTTTGCCTAATGAGCTTTAGGAGGCAAACAAAAGCCTTTAGTGTCTTGTCAATTTCAGGCAGCAGCTGCCAGCCACTAATTAAGGTCACAGAACTGAGCTTGTTAACTTGCAATTAGCACTTTTTAGGGACCCACAGGACTGCAGAGAAAAGCAGCTCAGGAAGAGATTGCTTGTTTAGGCAATCTCACCACTTTGAGGGGGGAAAAAAAGAAAAAAATGGGTCAGGCACAGGACAATGTATACTAACTGACTGTAATAAGCGAACACATGACTGAGAGACACTGCAAAGGTCATAAATGTGCACCTTGGTTGCAGTTATTTTTTCAGCGCCATCATAACTTCAGATGGTTGCTGCATGAAGCAGTTGGAAAGTGAGGTCTACCTGTATCTACATCAAGTCACTCAAACATCAGCCAGTTCTGCAGAGTCCTTCATAAAACCCCTGGTTTCCCTCTGCCTTTATCTAGGGCTTCCATATGCCCATCCTTCATACAAATCTACTCTTTTAAAATACTATTTTCCTGTATGTGGCAGCCATAAAAAGTCAACCTCCTAGGGGCTTAAAAGAAGTTCATCTCTCTTTGCTGTGGCCTTCTTGTTCATGGCCAGTGGGAGGTCTGCCTTATTCTGCCTGATGCTGATTGCTGCCCAATAAAAGTGCCTTTCTTCATTGGAAGATAAATAGTGAAAGAAAACATAGAGCGTCTCCAAAGTTTAAGAGTGAGAGTGATCACTTGGCATCTTTTTAATAGAACAAAAACTATTATCACAGCCCCGGAAGAATGCAGAGGCCAGGAGAGGGCCAGTGAAGCTACAGTAGGGACCTTTGTGTTTGCAATGTTTAACTCATTGTGAAAGCAAAGCCTATCAGAACAGAGAGAGCGCCAAGATGACTGGGAAACGGTAAACCTAGGAGGCTCTTTGCAGTCAGGAAAGCAAATACACATGAATACTCATTCCATTTGGATTTCCCTAACTGCAAAGTAAATAAAGCATCCACGGGACCCATATTTTGCATTTCACCTGTAATAACATTCCTAATCACCTCTCCCTTTATATTAACCACAAAGGCTTTGAATAGGGACTATTATACATTCTAGTGGGAGCTCCTTTATGCCACATTTCATTCTCGCTGATGACAAGCTGAGCTAGTGGGAGCTCATGTTGATAGGACTCCCTCTGAAAGGCCGGATGGCATCAGAGATGAAGTGATGTTTTTCATACTTGTTCCTTTGTATTTCTTGATTGAACAGTCCTTCCAATTGTACATCTTGTTCATCATATTTGCCAAGGGGGTTGCAAAATCTGGTTTTCGATTACAGTTTAATTTTTGTAATGTAACAGATTCCTGTTTGAGACTTATTCTGCTCTATACCTTAAAGACATTGTGTTCATGATTATATTAACCACTTATATATACCACTTATTTCATTTAAATGCTTTATCCTGCCTCTTTTGTGTTTCAAAGCTCACATATCTATCTTTTGGAACTGTACATTTAGTTAGGTATATCACTTTGCTTACTCTGGACGTTGGCTGCGGGATCTATAATGGCGAAGGTGCTGCTGGACTAGAATCCAGGAGACCAGAAGTTCATGTCCTTCCTTAGGCATGAAAGTTGGCTTGATAACTTTGGGCCAGTCACTCTAAGCGCAACTGGCCTCACAGTGTTGTTGTGGGGAAAACAGGAGGTGGGAACATTATGTACACTACCTTCTCTTTGCACAAAATAAAGGCAGAATAGTAGAAGTAGTAGTAGTAGTAGTAAGTTGTGGTTGTTTGGTTGTTGAATAAATTAATTAAAGAATCCCTGATAAGTCCTCCTAAAATACAAATAATTTTTAAAGAGTCTGATGATGGTATAACTTAGGTTTCCCCAATCAGGACGCATGCAAGATGTATAGATTAACACTCAGAATTCCCCAATGAGCATGGCCATTTCTGAGAATTCTGGGACTTGAATTCACACTTCCAGAGGGTACCCAGTTTCAGGGAGGCTGATATAACTTAAGACATTCTGATCCATTGATAGGTTCCCATTTCTTTTCTTCCATTTTTACCTCTGATCAACTAATTTTTGGAAACATTACAGAATCCTGCAAAACTTTTCTACCAGCAGTGTAAATGGAAAGACCGTAAATATCAAAGGCAACACTGATTTTCTAGTGCCATCTTTGTTCTGTGGGGAGGAACCTTTGCAGAGGGGGGAAGCTGAAAAAGTCTATATTTAGCCCAGGTCTGTATGAAATATAATATTAATAGCTATGGCACTTGAATAGTTATTGCTCAATAATGTTCACATGTGAAAAGAACTTCCAAATGTTATTTCCTCCAGTGCCTCCAGTTATTTCATCTCCTCCAGCGAGTTTGTGTTATTGTCAGCCCTTTAAGGTAGACCAGACCATTAAACCAAAGCCATGCAGGCCAATACAGTTTTCATTATAAGATTATAGTAACAGAATCTTGCAAGTCTGAATGCACTTCCCCCTCCCTCTCTTTATCTTCATGAGAACTAAGGAGGATCTTGTGTAAGACATTTTCTCAGGTTACAATTCTTCCCCGTATTCAGGTTTCTTTTATTGCCCAATGTCTTGGTAGCAGCTCTTTGTCCTGTTCTTCAAGGTTATTCCTTCTTCCCATTACACTAATCTATCTCAGGCTTTCATGCCTAAACCCCACATCTCAAGCCCTCCTTCTACTTCATGCTAATCAACATCCCCTCCTCCTTTAATGTAGAAATTCAGCTGCGCCAAAGCACTCTACATCTCAGACTCTGACAAGAGGAAACACTTCCAGCTAGTCCTGAAGCTGTTCTTCAGCAATGGGCAGGAGATCGGCACATTCCACAGCAAGCTGATCAAAGTGATCTCCAAGCCCTCACAGAAAAAGCAGTCCCTGAAGAACACAGACTGTAAGTCTTTCTATGAAGAGTGGTTGCTCTATCTCCTTGGGGACAGCCCTGTTGCCAGGAGAGATGGTAGACTGGAAGAAGTTAAAGAAGGTACTGGGGTAGTAAGACAGATTAGGGCACAGGAGGAGTTTGGTTTGCTCTGGCATTTCAGAGAATAAAATCAGGTAGCAGGAGATGGAAAACTTCTCTTCCTGAGCCTTTGGAGAGGTGCCATCACTCAGAATAATGATGGGGCGGTGATGGTGGTAAGGTAGCTTCTTATATTAAAGCGCAAGAGCTACGGGCCAAGTGAAGGTCAGAATAACTAGGGATGCAGAGCTAGTGTCTCAATGATAGCATCCTTATCAATCCACATCAGTGCAGAATAATCCTACCTGGGTCACTCAGTTTAAATCCATCTGTATCCATGTGCCTAGGGCTGCAATATCAGGGTAGCTATTAGAAATCTAAATATACATATGAAAACTCCAGTCATGTTTATCTCTCTCCCCCCCCCACCCTTGCAATTCTCTAGTGTGCATTTCGTCTGGGTCAAAGGTCTCCCTCTTCAACCGCCTGCGCTCCCAAACCGTCAGTACCCGCTATCTTTTTGTCGAGGGTGATACCTTCACAGCAAGTGCCCGGCAGTGGGCAGCGTTCACACTTCATCTGGGTGAGGCTGGTTCAGGGCAAGCAGAGGTTTAATCATTCATGCTGGAGCCTAATTGCAAATCTGTTCACCCAATTGCTGCCACCCCTGAACTTAATTAAATGCTGACCTTGAGTGGCTGGAGGTGATCAAAATGAAGAATGGCTGATTACACTTTGACACTGAAGTGAATATATACATTATGACTCTATCCTTATGAGCTTGGGCTTAAACCACAAATGAGCTTTGGAGACAGATGACCTCGTATATAACATTAAAATCTGAAACGGATGTCAGTTTCCTAAAAGGAATGGATGCAACACTGTCATCAATGCTATGAACAGGGGCATCCACAGGGGAGGTCAAGAAAGTCAAGAGGGTAGCTGCTACCACATGGTCACAGATGCCATCTTGCCTTTTTTTGATCTCCTTTGCAGATGCTCCTGGATGTGAAGCTGCTATTCCATTTCAGGAGATGTGATTATCTCACTGGCTTCTCCTAAAACAGCCTTTCCTGAGCAGGCCATCTTCAGATGGGCTGGACTATGCTGGCTGGGAATTTTAGGATTTATAGTCCAATACATCTGGAGGGCATCACCTTCATGAAACAATGTTTGTTAGTAGCCTGATGGCCAGTGGATATTATAAGAATTTATTGTTAGATAATATGCAGATCTTTTGGGGATAACATCACATTCAGAAAACTTGATACATTGCATCTAGGGCTTGGCTCCCTATCTGGCACCTGGGAAGGCAACATTGGGGCCACTAACACACTCCTCGATTCCCATGCCCTGTCCTACTTTTGGTAACTTATTTACAAAGAAATTAATGGGAAATTAAACTACGTTCCCCATAATGCCTCTATGCCCTCCAAAAATTCCACTGACCCGCAAAGGTTAGAGATGCCAAGCCAGGAGAAGGAGTGAAGGGAGGAGGAGTGGTGTATGCACATGCATCAGTGCCAAAGAACGTTTGGACTCACACTTCACATTGAAGCATAATTTGGTATGTTTCGGTTCAACTATGCCATTATTGCATATTGGTGGGTAAAATAATCAATGGCATAGCACAGTGCTAAGGAATACAGAGACAAATCAGCATTTTGGAAGAAAGTGTATTGGAACTCTTTGGTAATCTCCAGTTTATATGCAAATAGACAGATGGAGCACAAGTAGGATAAGTGTTAGGTGCCCTCCTGCAGTGCAGATGATCTGTGACTCCACATCAGATCATGGGAGAGAGATGCTCTGTATCCCAAGATGCTTCCATCCATTACCTTGCAGCTTGCTTCTCTCCGTCCTTCCTACTGTCTCTTCAGTGAATGTTTGCTGTTATCCAGCAGTCAGTGGCACAGATAGAGAACTAGGCTATGTGACTAAAATCAGTAGCAACACTATATTTTAGGTACCATTTTACAAACCCACCTTGTCATTACATACAGCACTGTGGTTAAGTCCAATTCCTGCCCCTTGTCATCATCTGTTAGTCTCTCTCTCTCCCTTTATTTTTCTCTCCTTTTTTGTGTCATGCAGATGAGTTCCGTTCTCAATCCCAGGCTGAGTTCCCACTGCGGGAAGTCTACATTCGGTATGGTTCCAGAGTTCGACTTATTTGCACAACTACTGGGATAGCACTGCCTCCTCTGGTAAGGTTTAATAATAACTAGGAAGAAAAATCACTGCAGAAGTAACATTTTGGAATAGTCTATAACTTTATACATTACAATAGTATCCTAGTGAGTTCCAGCCAGACTGTGCGATGACTGCCTTCTCTCTTGACCCTACATGTCCAGAAATGTTGCATAGTCACTACGTAAAAATAGAGATGCTTGTTGGTCACAAAATCAGAGAATTGCTGCAGACTAATAGAGAAGCTGTGGCATCCACAGCAGATGTAAAAAAAAATGTGGTTGTACAATTGTAGCCCAACCCCTTTTGTGTGGGCATCGTGCATGTGATATACATAAAAATGGATGGGCTTCAAGCACACTGTGGTAACACCATCTTGACTTTTTGAACTCTTCCCCACAGATACCCTGTAGAGAAGAGAAGAGAATGTATAAGTAACATTTATATCTCCAACCAACACACTTCTGATATCACCAGAAATATTCCTTATATTCCTTACAATTGAAACAACTAAGGAGACATTGCACATCTTTGTTTCCCTCCCTACTCAATGTTTATCCATCTGCTAAGGATTCCATTTATTCTCACACGTGCTATACTTCCATCATATACTGTTATCGTATTCACCATCCTACCTTCAACTTCATATTCATTCAACATTCCTTAATTCCAGCCTATTTGCTTGCCATATGCTTTTTAAAAAATCAATAAACTTTCTAATCTTCATACTTCTCTCTTGACCTGCTGAAGAGCAAAAATCTGGTCCGCAAACATCCTGTCTGGTGTAAAGTTGCACTATATTTCCCAAATTTTCCTTCTTGTTCTGGACCTCTTTCAGTCAGAGCTGAAATGACCTCTAGAGGAACTGGGATGATGAGGTCACATCCATTCTAGCCCTCCTTGATCTCTCAGTGGCTTTAGACACCATTGATCATAGTATCCTTTTTGACAAACTTAGGTGTCTGGGAGTGGGAGGCACAATGTTACAGTGATTCTCCTCCTTCCTCTGGGTTCAGTTCCAGTTGATGTTGCTGGAGAAGACCTTAAAGGGTGAGGTTCCACAGGGTCTACTGTCACCCTGCTCCTATTTAACATCTACATGAGATCGTTAGGTGAAGTCATACAATGGCACAAAATTAGGTATCATCAATATACTGATGATACCCAATTATACATGTCCAAATATAATTGGCTGTGATGCCATCAAGGTGCTTTCTCAGTATCTAATGCAAAGGACAGGCTCAAGCTCAATCTGGAAAGACTGAGTGATTATAGGTTGGGAACCTCCCAGAGCTGGTGCACAATTTTGGGGGTTCTCTTGGCTCTCGGTTCCTATTCAAGGAGTAGATAGTAGCCATAGTTAAGAGTGCCTTTGCATCAGTGTCAAGAACAATACTTGGAGGACCACTTTGCATAACTTGCCATTTTATTCCTACTTTCTGTTCCCTGAGGTAGAATTTTAAGAATCTGCACTCCCTTCTGATGGCAAATGGTTTTATGTTCTTTTTTGAGCTTTTGTTATGTCTATTTATTTCTTGAGATCATTCGCAAAGTTACTAAACAATCGGTAATGCTGGATGTGGATGAACCAGTCTCCCAGTTGCATAAATGTGCCTTCCAGCTTCATGGGAGTGATAGGATGTACCTCTGCCTCTCAACAGAGAAAGTAATCCAGTACCAGGTAATGGAGATGCAGAATACATTTGGGAAAATCAAATATGATAGATGGTGATGTAGTAGCATTGTAAGATTACTATATTCTGTTGGTCACACAGTCAGCCAGATGTTTAGACTGGATTTGGCATTTTTATCCACCTATCGAGTCCTTTCCAAGGACCTGGGATAAGCAGATGTTTTATTATTATTATTATTATTATTATTATTATTATTATTATTATTATTATTATTTTGATTTATAT